TAAAAAACATTACAAATATAATGGTTTTGTACTCGATTTAAAAGAGATTTTATTAGCGGATGAGCCAAAATCTACTTTTTTGCCATTGTTAGGTGTATACAGAGGTGTCTGTGATAGCTCTTGGAAATATAATAATATAATATCATCACGTGCTGTCAATGCGCAATGTTGACTTTGTGTTCCTCAGAGAGAAACCGACCAAACAAATGAGTCAAACAGGTTCTCTGGATGGACAAGGACCAAGACAATGTCAGGTTGTCATCTTTGAAGGATGACTTTAATTAGTTTTCTGCAACCAGTATGGTCTGTCAAATGCAGCAAGTAGGGGAGCATTGCTTTTCAGAGATCTGGTGAGTGAATTTCTCTGATCAAAGCTAAGAACATATTGAGTTGATCTAGAAATGTTTATCGATCTGGGTAAGTAACAAATCGCCTTTTGTCTTCATCATGAGGACCATCTTGGGCACAGAACATTCTGTCTGTTAAGAAACATTTGCATTGGCACAGAACACTGATGAATGAACTGGCCTGAAGATTTTCAAGATATTTCTCTAATGAAAAATTTCAGGCTTGTTTTTAACCCATTGAAATGGCATTTTCCATTGAAAAGAAAGGCATCATCAGAACACAATGTCCAAGTAATGAGCCCCGAGGGACATTGAGTGCCTTTCCCCACTACACTCATGCATTCTTCATTTCTTTCCATTGTCGTGAACAGGGAAAAGCCTTTTCCCTGTTTTCCGAGACATGCTTTGCCTCTTTTCCTGTTGTTGCCGTATAGGGTTCCTCTCGCTGGCTCGGGTCACAGGGTTCGATGATTCTTGTCAGTCAGGTCTCTAATGCGTTAACCTTTCTGAGCAGAGAATGTTGGCAAAACCCAGATGGCCTTTTCACCTGTTGACAGCTGAATGTGCTCCCTAAGGTCAACAGAGTTTTTTTCTTTTTTAACACACGTGTTGTCCCATCCTCAGGTGAAAGATGTCCCTGAACGTACAGAGATTGTCTGAGAACAGGCCTGTCTTTGTTTATATATAAATGTCCTGAGTGTTTTGCTTGCACTTCCTTGCCTGTCAGAGCCAGGCTATGTCTGGCACTTAAATCCCACAGTTTAGGCTGATGATTTCACAAAAGGTGGCTGCTTTGACTCGTTGTCAAAGTTTGTATGACAGAAGTGTTTCCTCTGTGACTGTTGCTACATTGTTGATTTATTCAGCTTGTCTGTGTTTTGTTTGCTGTTGTAAAAGTAAAAAAAAATTATTTTTTTTATTTTTGATTAACTTCATTTTTTTTTTTTTTACTTCAAACCATCATCTAATGCCTACTTCAAGTTAATCTTTAAAAGCCCTAAGAAAACAGAAACATACATTTTTCATCTGTACATTTTAATGGTCTGATGTCTAAATCAACTT